TGGTTAGTGCCCTCGCATAACAAACAAGAACCGCGGGCGCTCGATGCGACGAAAGATTTTCTATGATGCGTACTCACGGTTTTTCCTGACTTGCTAAACTGATTTTGCACTTGCGTCGATTGATCCGCATTTTAACGTGATCGACATATTTTTCCCAAAAATCCCGACAATTTTTCCCACGAAAGCAGCTCCTGATTCAACGGAGTTTCCTCCTATCTGTTCTGAGTGGCCTTGTCCAACTTCTGAAGTACTGTTTGTACAAGAATACAGCCTGCTTCTTCTTCCTTACTTGTCAGCGATTCCATTGCTCGAATATGTGAGGTGACTCTGTCAGTTCCCTCAGCTTGCCCACCGATGCGTCAGCCTTCTCCAACCCAAATATCCCTATGATGTGTGCCTGCAAAATAAAACGCTTATTATTATCAAAGCGACGCTTTAAAATATCTAGTGCCACGATATAATTGGCCTCATTTATCTCCAATGAGCTGATGGTATTGAGGGCTGCGCCACTCAAACAGGAACGTAGATGCTGCAGCTTTTCGATAGGGGTCAGCTCGGACTTCTTGTCAATGATCGCGGTGAACATTGAGAAGAAATTGGCCCACTCCGTGTAAATTCCACTAAATTTTGGCAGCTCCAGCTGAGGCAGCCGAGATCTATTGGCCATAACGACGATTGATTGGGATGCACTTGAGTTGGGGTTTATTGTCGAACAGTGCTTGGTGCTGGACCGACTTCCAAACTCGCGCTGAAGAATGGTCCGCAGTGATAATATGGACGAGTCGAATTTGGCAGGTACTTCACTGGACATGGACTCAAAATCCATTTCCTCTAAGCTGTTATGCGCCACAGCAAAATTAGATTCCAGTACAGTCAACGATTGCAACAGTCCTTGCAGATCATATTCATCCATTTGGCACAGCTTCTCACTATCCATATCCGTGCGTATGGATTCTAGCCTATCGAAAATAGACCTAGTTTTTAGCTTCAGAAATGTAGTCCGGGACGCAGGGAATTGTGTGTTGTGTGCAGCGTTGGCACTAAAACTTCCACCACTTGGAGCAGCTCCAAATGCCACCGACTCGCTATGTGTTTCACCAGCCTCATTTGCCATAGCACACGATCCACTTTTTATACCCGGTACTCAAAGAGTAAATAGGGTATACTGTATTTGTGCGAATAACGGTTGTATGTAACGCACAGAAGGAAGCGTTTCCGACCCCATAAAGTATATATATTCTTGATCAAGCATCAATAGCCGAGTCGATAGAGCCATGTCTGTCTGTCCGTCTGTCCGTCTTGTTTGTCGGCTAGTTATCAGAGACTATAAGAGCTAGAGCTACCAAATTTTGCATCCAGACTGCTTTATGCTCACACTGAAACCAGTGTCTTTCAAAAATGAGCCACGCCCCCTTCCGCCCCCGCAAAAGGGCGAAAACCTACCAAACCTACAATTTTGAAGATAAAAGAAAACTAAAAACGCCATTCCATAGGGAATGGCCATATATATCCGATCACCAAATTGGGATCCGATTGGATCATTATTATAGCCAGAATGAAGAAAGTAATTTTATGTGGCTAAACCCACACTGTCCAGCAGCTTTTGTTGTTCCTTTCACATTCTCTCATTCACACTCTGCTTCTGCTTCACTCGGCCCCTGCCTATTTAAAATTTGACAAAACACAGCTGAGGTGCAGATGCACTATTGTCCCAATGACCAGTTTTGGTGGCTGTTTACGCCAAATTAGCGCAAAGGGCTTAGGACCGGGAGCAATCAGTATTTTGTAGAAGTAAAATGAATTTGTAGCATTAAGCTATTGGATTGTTGCATTGACGACATACTGACAGAAGTTTGTTGCTATAGAACATACATGTAATACGCTCTGAATACGCTTAGAAAAAGAGTGGCCATCAAAGTTGCGTACCAGAAAATTTCATAGATGGCGCCACTTTCGAAAAATCTGCTGTGAAACCTAGCGGTCATTATTGCACAGAATGTGCAGGGAAAAAGAACCAATTTTATTTCTGTTTTAAATATCTCATAAATTGGAAAATACGATTAACTGATCCAATTTTTTGATGCATTTTATTTAGTAGGTAAACGTAGTAAAAACTACCTGTTCTGTAATGTGAACGATATCTAGTGGTTGGCGATGTCTTCTACATCTAGATGTAGTCCTGAGTGCCGGGTACAAAAGTTGTGACGCGTAAGAAGCGTCTCACACGTCCCTTCTCGTTTGTACAAAATATGATAATCTTTAACTTCATAATTTGTCTTATCTCCTAAAACCATATATTTCGTACCGGATATATAAGTAATACGAAGTACCAGGTATAAAAGTTGTGACGCCTAAGAAGCGTCTCACACGTCCCTTCTCGTTTATTTTATTTTTTCGATTTTTATTTTGCAAGTTGCGCAAAAACACCAAGACCGACTGATTTTGTGGCTAAGCGATAAGAAGATCATCGCTCTGAACCGCAAGGGCGTAGTGAGCAAGTAGTGGAAAGAGAACAAGTCATGCGTCCAACACAAGACATTGGGTTCTTGAACTCGATTAAAGCATTGGATTCATGATACAAGATGAACACAAAAATCAACACACCCTCAAATACCATTAGCTGAATTCATTGATGGGAAAGCGCGTAAATGTGGGAGAGGCGTGATTTTACTCACAGTCATACTCATACTCAGCACGAACACAGCTGTTCGTGGTGTTTAATTTAAAAACAAATATACATATGTATATATTTGCGGGGAACTCAGTTGCGGGCTAAACTTTTCAATCGTCGGGCCAGACCAGTTTCACCAGGCTGTTTGAGCGAAATGGAATCGTCGGCGCTTATATCTGTAGGCCTTCTAATACTGCACGCCATTATCGCTGTAGGGGAGGCGGCTCTACCGTATCGCTGTAAGCAGAGAATACGAAAACACGTTTATACATATGTATGTACATACATACATAAAAAACACGCCTTATTTACCGAGCTCGTACAAAAATTTGCTTCCTCAGCATCTTCATCGTATCACTACAGTCAGCAGTTTTGCATGGACACACAGACCGGGCGACAGCTGTATGTTGGTGAGGTTTTCACCCGCCTGGGGCTTTGCATTAGGGTTCAGTGCCTGGGCACTCTGCAGCTCTGGGAGGACAGGTGAGATTTTAATATTTTGCTATGGACTCTAAAATAGCTCAACTCTTTTCCTGGTTCAGTTGCTTGGTGCCGAGCTCCATAAAGGGTGACTGCAAGCCCGTTCCGCCTACAGACACTAATTTTGAATACCCCATGTGCTGTCCGCTGTACGAATGCCAAACATACGAGTCGAACGCGGAAGGAACATTGAAGCAAACCAACACTTATGACCACAATGGTTCGCTGCGCATGTCGCACCTTACCGAAGTGATAGTCATAAACAAAAATGCGCGGTTAGATCAGGAGGACACTCCTATAGTGCCGATACGCAGAAACCATGTGTAAGCTGTGCAACCTAGCTTTTTTGCTTTTAGTTCTAATTGATATTGTGATTGTGTGGGATTTAACCTTAGTTAGGTGTGGTATCAGCCTTTGCGTTGTATTTGTATTAAACGAATCAATAAAAAGAAGGAAATGTGGACATATGTATGTACATATGTATTTGTAGGGATGATAGTCCTATGCAAACGACAAGAAATCATCTCTGTTTTTTTATTCGGCAGCAAATTTTAGAGCCAGAGAAATGGATACATATTTTTACTAATTGGGTCAAAACGATCGGATTATGTTTTCAACAAAAAAGATTCTCGTAATACTTTAATTATAATTATAAATAATAATTATGTTTGAGTAAAAACAATAGAACTCCAAATTAATGATTACATTTTGAGTGTTTTTTTTTTGATCAAATTATTATTTATAATTATTAATGATGAATTATAAATAATTATGATCAATAATATCTATGCTAAAAACTGAATTTTTAGAAATGGTGCATTTTCGGTGAATTAAATAATTAAATTATTAAATACTTAAAATACTACTATCTCGAAGCGAAAAAAAAGAATTGTTCTATCTTCTGTCGACAGAAACACATTCAAACGACCCAAAATTGGAAGAACACAAGCGAATCAAGTGCAAAACGGCTATAAAAGAGCAGTATATGAAGAAAATGTTAATCTTACCTTAAATATTATAAAGTCACAAAACTACTCTCACAGAGATCGTAAGTGCCTACGCCTATACCAAAAGCTCAACTCGGTAAACCTGGCACAAAGCAGAACAATCAATAACCACCATCAAATATAATTGTAAAAAAAAAACAAAAAGGGACGTGTGAGATGCTTCTTACGCGTCACAACTTATATACCCGGTACTCAGTAGTAAATCTGTACCTTGTAGTTATTTTCAATTTTTACATTTTGCATGTGTCTTACATTTTCATCTACAACACTTCTCACTCCAACTCGCTCTTTTCGCTCGACCCCCTCGAGTAGACCCGCACACTACACAAAGCAGAGTGTGAATGAGAAAAATGTGCAAAACAAAAATAAAAGCTGCGGGAAGGGGTGGGTTAAGACACTGAACATTAATTTCTTCATTCTGGCTATAATATTGATCAAATCTGACCCCAATTCGGTGATCTGATATATATAGTTTTTCCTTACGGAATGGCGTTTTTAGTTTTCTTTTATCTTCAAAATTGTAGCTGTGGGAGATTCTCTGGCAAAAGGGCTCATTTTTGAAAAACAGTATTTTCAGTGTGACCACACTCTGGATGCAAAATTTGGTGGCTCTAGCTCCTATAGTCTCTGAGAAATAGCCGACAAACAAGACGAACAGACGGACGGGCGCACAGACAGACATGGCTATTTAGACTCGGTTATTGATGCTGATCAAGTATATATAAGTATACTATATATATATGCGTTACATATGTACATCCACTTTGTGCACAAATACAGTATACCCTATAACATATGTATATTGTATTATTGGATTCAGTGACGGTTTTTTTTTATTCGCAAAAAATTATTTTATATTCACATTAAATTCATTTTTTCTTAAAATCCAAAAGTGGCAAAACCGTTCGAAACTCTCACTTTTGCCATGAATTTCCCGCCAATATGAAGACTTCATGCTTGCTTGTGTCGTGAGGTACATTTACACATCTTATTAGCACTCCGGCGTGTGCAATTTCCACGTCTTTGTTGGACCCCTCTGGAATGTCCGAGAAGCTGGTGACTACATATTCCTGTTTACTTCTTATGAAGGTTTTAAAAATATTTACACTGGTCTTTGGTTTAATTGGTTATGATTCGCCTTTTTGCCTCCCTGGTGTATCGTTCCCGGATAACTCTCGGGGAAGTCAGGCGTGTTTTCGACTCGATATCCAGGGGACGGACTAAAAGCCTCAGATCGAAAATAAGGGGCCTCTAGAAAAATCAGTGTGATATTCGTATGGAACTGATCAAAAATTTTGCGCGCACAAACTATTTTCTAACGGCTGAACGCCGGGCAGTACCACTAGCCATATAACTATCATGTCACCATATCACTATACTATATGGTCAGTGGCAGTACTTAGATCGAAAAGATCTAGATTAAATCTAGAAGTCAGCCGATATTTTGTGGTATTCGTTTGTATGTTGCTAGCAGCTCGACAAAAATAGATCTTTTTATACCCGGTACTCGAAGAGTAAATAGGGTATATTGTATTTGTGGGGAATAACGGTTGTATGTAACGCACAGAAGGAAACGTTTCCGACCCCATAAAGTATATATATTCTTGATCAGCATCAATAGCCGAGTCGATTTAGGCATGTCTGTCTGTCCGTCTGTCCGTCTTGTTTGTCGGCTAGTTATCAGAGACTATAAGAGCTAGAGCCACCAAATTTTGCATCCAGACTGCTTTATGCTCACACTGAAACCAGTGTCTTTCAAAAATGAGCCACGCCCCCTTCCGCCCCAGCAAAAGGGCGAAAACCTCCCAAATCTACAATTTTGATGATAAAGGAAAACTAAAAACTTCATTCCGTAGGAAATGGCCATATTTTTCAGATCACCAAATTGGGATCTGATTGGATTATTATTATAGCCACAATGGAGAAATTAATTTCCAGTGGCTAAACCCACCCTGTCCCGCAGCTTTTGTTGTTCTTTTTACATTCTCTCATTCACACTCTGCTTCTGCTTCACTCGGCCCCTGCCTCTGCCCACCCCTTGCCCCTGCGTCTTCCGACTTTTAACCCACCCCGTCCCTAAGCTTTTATTTGTTTGTTTTTTTTGTGTGCGGACGGTGATCTGCCTGTGCCTCGAGTCTGCAGTGTGTGGGTCTAGGGAAGGGCGACGAGCTTACGGAGCGTGAGAAGTGTGCGGTGTGAGAAGTGTTGTAGATGTAGATGACAGATGAAGAAAAAATTTAAAATGTGACAAAACACCGCTAAGGGGCAGATGTAGTACTAAGTGCCGGGTATAAAAGTTGTGACGCGTAAACAGCGTCTCACACGCCCCTTCTCGTTTACATTGCGAGTGGGTACCTAGCAAACCGAGAGTAAAGTCCCAATAAAATTGAGTTAACAATGCCGCTGAAGTTGAAAGATAAATGACCACCGTGCTTCTAAACGAACTTAAGACCATCAAACGGCAAAGAAAGGAAACATTTATTATAGATTATTGAGATTATTTTGAATGTATTTGCATTTTTAATTTGTTTAACTTATTTGAACGCCAGTTGCTTGATGTTGCCAATACACAGACCGGGCTGGGCGTTTAACAAAATGTTTTAAGTTGTTTTCCTTTTGGGACCAAGTACTGCTCCACAGGGTCGTGCCCTGGAGGGGCGAAGGCGGCGATTTGGGCTCAAAACTATCCAGCTTTGAATCGGAAGGGTGCTTGGAGGCGCCGTTTTACAACTTTGCCACGGGCGCAAATATTCCTTGGCACGGCCTTGCTGCTCCACCAATCAAAGAAGTCTGTAGATGTTATTCCCAGACATATGCAAATTCTCTGTCATATTTTTAAACTGCGGAATATGCAAAGGGTATCGTTTCATGGGTTTCCATAAATGAACATATATATATAAATATGATTTATAATACTCAAATGTATAGACAAACTACCGTTCTGGTTTCTTTCCTGCAGATATGGATTTAATCAAAGTTGTCGGCGCTTATTTCGCTGATTTTCCTCCTCCTCCGATCATGCAAGAGCCAACAATCCCACTAAAAAGAATCTCCTGCATGGATCCATTTTGCATTCATTGTTTTATTAACCTTTTATTCAAATTTCACACATTTTCAAAAAGGTAAACAAAACGACACATTGCCTGAGAAGTGTAACCGTACGGAATGTGGGTTTCACCTCTGGTCGCACTCTGCTGCAAGCATAGAATGGACTTTGCTTACATTGATTGTACAAATGGAAATTAACGAAGAACTACAATTTGTTGTTGTTTTGTTTTTATACACGGTACTCGAAGAGTAAATAAAGTATATAGATCAAGAGATCAGCATCAATAGCCGAGTCGATTAAGCCATGTCTGTCTGTCCGTCTGTCCGTCCGGCCGTCTGCCGTCTTGTTTGTCGGCTAGTTCTCAGCGACTATAAGGGCTAGAGCCACCAAATTTTGGCTCCAGACTGCTATATGCTCACCCTGAAACAGCTGTATTCCAAAAATGAGCCACGCCCCCTTCCGCCCCTGCAAAAGGGCGAAAACCTACCAAACCTACAATTTTGAAGATAAAAGAAAACTACATAGAACAATTTTTTTTCGTTTTCAATTCATTAAGATTGGCCACAAAAAGTGGTAAATTTCCCATAGTGCAATGGGTAAACGAATTCGGTAATCAAAGCTTAAGTAAAGTGCGCAGTGCGAGTAATGAACAACTTATGTTTTTAACTGTAAACAAATTGCTGACTTATGGAAACAGAAACATAATGACTGACTTTTGAGAACTTATTATGAAAGCTCAAAACTAAATATAAAGGAATAGTGGAATAGGAATAGTGAGATCCTTACATGAGATCACATGAAAGGTATTTTCTCAAGGATCAGGAATAACACACATTCATGATAACAAACCACTCAGTTCAAAGGATAATCAATTTAACTTTTATTTTTAACTTTTAAAATAAAAGTTACGAAAAGTTCAACTTTTATAATATAAATATAAAAATCATAATTAATTCTTATTTTTGATTTTAAAAGTATAACTTAAAAATAACTCTTAATTCTGATTTTTATTGAAAAACTTAAAAATAATTTTTAAAATATAAATCCTAAATATAATTTTCGGTATATTTTATGTTGCTGTAACATATATCCTTCACATTGATTTATTTGCTTCAATTTGTCCTTTATAACTGTTAATTGCGATTTGGGGACGATTACCCGCCAGAATGCCCACAATCCGAAGAATGCGCTGTGATAAACGACGAGAGCCTGGGGGCCGAGTGCCCGCCACCAGATATGATCCATCCGAGATGTGGCTTCTGCAGCGTCGGCAGTCCAGGCGACAGCT